CGCCTCCGTCCCCGGCACGGCGCCCCTGCTTGCTGGGGGCACGGCGCCCCTGCTTGCTGGGGAGCCCGACAGGGCTGCGCCAGCGGTGCCCGGCAGCTGGATCGCGCCGCAGGGGCGGCGCCGGCACTCAGCCGGGAAAATGGCGGCGTGGAGCCGTAACTCGGTAGTAAACTGCTCAACCTCAAAACCGAAGTTTGATTTACTCCTCCAGACGGTCACTTCAGGAGTCGGCACAAGGCGCCGAGGAAGGAGAAGTCCTGTCCCAGCCTCAGGGTAGGTACTTCAGGGACGAGGCTCAGCCCTGCAAAAAAACCCAAACCCCACAGAAAATACCCAGGCCGGCCTTCAGGGGAGCAGGTCAGTCGGTGCAGCCTGCACGCTTCTCACAAGGAACTTTTTGTACTCGGAAGTAAGACTACAAAATATGGAAGAATTACTTAAGACACAATATATTAAGACATTAAATACCAAAGAATTGAGAGTGGTGTGTCCTACGTATGTTAGCGAGCTAGCGTCACTTGCCTGTTGTCATGTGTGCACAGGGAACTTCAGAGTAAGTAAAGCCTTTCACTGCCTTCACGATCTGGTCACCGATCAGGTTACTGACATGAGGGAGTAACAACGTTCCTTATTTTGCAGTACTGTGCAACTTACCTTTGAGGATTGAAACGATTTAGCTTTGGCAGTGGATAAATAGCATCACATATTAGGAAACACTGGTCCCAGCGGTCGGTGAGATAAAGTTCACATTCTCTTAACTCAGTATTTTACAAACTGTTCAAGTTACAGTTCTTCACAACTAGCAGTATCACAGGCAAAGATGAGCTTTTTTATCAAAGCGATGCATTCAGCTTTACTCTAAAAGCCCTCTAAATTTAATTATTGCCAAACACTAGGTTAGGAGTTGATTAACTAGGATCATATCACAAATCATATCACGTACTAGAAGGTAATTTGCAACTATAAGCAATAATTCAAGACTTGTACCAGTGAGCATAAAAAAAAAAATAGGTGACAGTGTCTATATGTTTTTGGTCTGGCACTTAAAACAAGAACTAGCTCACTAGTTTTAAGTAATTGTTTGATTTTTACCATCAGATAAAGGTAACTGCTTTCGCACACAGGGTCAAGCCTTGCATTGGCAACTGAAGACCTATTTTGATGTTTCAACTAAGCAAGCAATATTTTATGTAGTCATTTTAAGCGAAATACATCAGAAATTCGTATCGTGCAGTTCTAGAGCTGTGCCATGGTTTTCTATTAGCTGTAAGGAAGGCTGAAGCTAGCTGGCACTATTTCTGTCCCATACACGGTAACTTCAGGAATTGTGAATCCTACTTGAGGAGGGTATCAATTGCAAAAGTTAATTAACAGTTACTGTATTAGTTCAGTCATTAAGCAACAGTTTCAGTACATTACTGCTGTTACTAACCCTTAAAAACACAACAACTTGGAATTGCCATCTGTCAGTCCACTAACACTGACAAGAAGCTTTAAAAGTTTTTAGCCTAACACAATCCGTCCAGCTAGTCTGCCACAAATACCAAAAGGACACCATGCTGCTGCTACAATTGCTACAAATTCGTGAAATTCAGAATTGGTACGTGCAGAAGCAATTTTGTCCTGTGGTGGGTGGTGGAAGAAGTCAGCCTAATCTCAAAGAAATGCAATGATAGGACAAGGGGTAATGGCTTTAAACTGAAAGAGAGTAGATTTAGAGTAGATGTAAGGAAGGCCTTCACTGTCAGAGTGGTGAGCACTGGCACAGGTTGCCCAGAGAAGTTGTGGATGCCTCATCCCTGGCAGTGTTTGAGGCTGGGCTGGATGGGGCTTTGAGCAACCTGGTCTAGTGGAAGGTGTCCCTGGCCATGGAAAGGGGGGTTGGAACTAGATGATCTTTAAAGGTCCCTTCCAACCCAAACCATTCTGTGATTCTATGATAAATCCAATGTGTTCACAAGCTGTGGTCTAGCTAAGAGATTGGAAAAACATAGTATAATGCTATCAATGAAGAGGCAACTTAACTACAGATGACTATGAGCCTCATGTTCTGATGAATACAGGATGCAAACACCTCGGTACTCTGAGTATTACACCAATAGTTTCTAAAAAGCACATGGATTTAAAATGGTCTGCACTTTTTATGTTGACTGTGATCAGAAGCTAGGCAGCTGTCATCCATTTAGCAGCCTTCGAAGCACTGGAGGGACAAACACAAGAGTCGTAATTTAGAAAGACCTTTCATTAACAGCATCACAAAAAAGCAAAGAAGAATTTAACCACACTGTTGAACTAAATTCAAAATACATCTTACTTCTATGCATAATGCTGATAGAAAAAAAAACCAATCACTTTTTCTGTTGGAGACAAGTTGCTGTTAGCTGCAACGAAGCACACCAGGCAGCATTATTCTGCTCAGAAGCTGGCATGCTAAGCGGACTTCAGTGTCTGCAGAAACCTACTTGATGTGCTTCTCATGACGCAAGTCTGGCAATAATGAGGTAGAAAACTTGAATTGTTTCTTCCCACCTACTTCAGCTCTTTCCTACTGTCCCACATTATTCCCAGTAATTTCCTGTTCCTTCCCTTCCATACCACACCTTAGTGGAAATGGGACTAGAATTGTTTCACTATCCCCCCAAAAAAGCCTACTGATAACAAAGCTTATTGATAGCAATTCTGCACACCAAGTCTCTTTCACACAGCAATTTTTGGTATACTACTACCCACTTTGCATTTTCCATTGCATTTCTTTGTCCACACTCTTGCTGTCTCATTCCCAAAGGCCAAGGCAGTATCCCCACAGATTTCACCTAGATGGCATTTTAGGGTACAAAAATCCCCATCAATAGAACATGAAGTCACCTTTTCACAGACAGCTGTAAAGAGGATCACCCATTGAAAGTGCAGCACAAATACAGGAAGAACCTATCTATTTTGCTACCCCATAAAGACAAAAAGACGAGCTATTTGTACGTGCCAAATGCTGGACATTGTAGCCAGGCAATTTCAAAAGATAGTGAGAAACAGCCAAACCACTAATCAAAAACTGCCAGAAATAACTAAGCAGACAAGACTTAAGTGTGAACAGCATCTGGACAAGTCAGGAAAAAAAAATAATGAGAAAATTCTGTAAATTAGCACATTTTACACATTGTCTTTATTCAAAAAATTTGAATAAACCAAAGGCTTTTATGCCACAAGCACACAGGCACCACCAACTTCTTTGATCTTCTCCTCTGCTCTTCTACTGAAGAACTTTGCTTTCACAATTACAGGCTGCTTGGGCAGCTTCCCCTTGCCCAGGACTTTGTAGTAGCCCTAGAAAGATTAAGAAAAGCCATTAAATGTTTGTGATCAGCTTGCAGGCTCCTACATTCAGACCTGTCTTTTAGCATGCACCAGTTAAAACCATGCTCACCTCATTCAGTGTCTGTCTCCAATATAAAATTGGTACGAATGAAAGAAAAATACCCTGCATGACCTAGTAGAGTTGCATTTGTTCAGAGAAAAAGTGGAAACTGTAAACTGAACTTTTCCTGTAATTTAGAAGCTGTTTTTTCCCCATACTCCATACAGAAAATACGGTGACATCTGGCAAAGAGGTCACCAATCTTTCCCCGCTTTTCCAAAGGAGAGAGCAGTTGGCTGCACTTCCAAGACTATCTACTACCCAATGACTTCTGGTCAGTGCTCTTTACCTGTAGGACATCCTGGTACTCCTGAACAGAGCAGAGCACTCTTCTGCATGTCTTAAGTGTATAACTGAAGCTTTTGCAGCAACAGCTGTTCTCTGCCACTGGAATCCTCTCATTTCATTCCTGTCCTTTACATTAAAAGGACAATCACGGCACAAGGTCCATTAATACTTCAGCCATTGGAAGTCATCGCTTGTTAGAAGAAGTGGCCTAACAAGCCAACACTGGTATCTTAATTTGGGACACAGAACACACCCACTTGGCAGACTAGTTAGTGTCACTGATTCGGTGGCTGGCTGAGATACAAGACATCATAGCCAGTGAATAGAGATCAGACATTTATGTCCGAGAACTACAGCACACCAAGACAATCACGCATGTTAAGATGTGACTCTAGTCTCGATATTAGAGAAGTGACTTTATATAATGAGACTAGTTCTGCCATGTTTTTATACATGCTTTCAGTAACATTTTAAACAAGTAATCTTTCACCACCTTCCAAAATCAGGGAAATCCCTGTCCACAATCACACACAAGCATGAGAAAAAGTTCTTACAGGAAAAAAACATAATAGCGTTAAGTACCTGTTTAACTACTTATAAGCCAAGATATTTGTCCCAAGAAGTTCGCAAATATTCAAGCACTGTAGCTTATTTGCAGTTCACCATTTTCCTACTTGGATACACAAAGCCAAGTTACACATGAAGTGACCAGGAACTGCAGATTTGAATATGGGCACAAACTTACCGAGCGCACAACATCAATGACCGGGGCCAGTCCAGCCTCATTTTTTGCATAATTGAGCCTTGTCTGTTCACTGACAAGTGTCCATAGTTTATCCAAATTGACAGTAGGACAGAACTTTTGGTTTCTCTTCAAGTGATAGTGTCTCATGCCTACTTTTCCAAAGTAACCAGGGTGACTGTGAAAGAAACACATTCCGCATTAGATCACATTTTTAATTCATCCTGAAAAAGTAGGACTACAAATTAACACCGCAACAAGCATCTTTCTTGATCAAAGTAATTGAAATGTCAAATTATACTTTTATTCATATTAACACATGTAGTATTTAAGTGTAATAATCATTAATACCCAAACCAAGGGAAAATTATTTTCTCTTGAAGTGTTTGTTCTCCCTTGAACTCACAACTCAATACCCCTTGGTGAGTCTGGTCCAGCCCTGTATTTCCAGGACAACGCCAACTCCGTGAATCCAGGAAGGGCTGCACTGCCTGAGGAGTTTCAGTGCTCCTGTCACTAACCTGGTGACTGACTGAGTCAAGAATGGTCACAGCCAGTGAATATAAGATTAGTGGTTACTGTCCGAGTACTCTAGCACACCAGGACAACAGGCAGTGTCCAGATGTGACTCTAGTCTCGGCAATAAGTAAAGAGAACATCCCTTACCTTTATAGTACGCACCTAAATAGGATGAAATTTGGATTTAGCGTAACATTTTGAATTTACATCACATTTTGTGTGTGCATCATTAAGCAGGGACCATGTTGTAACACGCAAGTTTGGTCAAGTCCACTCAATGCTGCACTGAACTCTTAAAAACGCCTGGTTTAAGTGAAAAGGCCTTTGGTTTGGGGGTAAATGGGGACACAAGTCAACTAGAGCTATAATGCCACACTTCATGTTAGAGGCAAAACCACAAAGGATTGCAAGGAATTTTTATTCACATACACAAGTTATTTGTTTCTACTTCAGGAACATACATTTTGCCAGTATATATTTAAAATGTTAGCTTACTATTTATCAAAGTTAATCCTGTGATGGTGCATACCACCAGCATTACCACGCCCTCCAGGATGTTTCCTGTGTTTGCCTAAAAAGAAAAATTTAAGTCTGTTACGCTAAGAGTATTATACATAATACCTGAGCTTAGAGGTATGTTCAGTGTCAATTCAAGCTAATTATTCTGACTCTATCCCTTCTTCTGCATTCACCTCAATTCAGTGAGATGAGGCAACTAAAAACCAACCATAGCATGCCTCTGGTTAGCTCACAGAGCACGAGACACCTGCGCTAGCACAAGTGGGGTGACAAGAAAAGGTAGGAACGGCCAAAGAGTTAGAAGGGACACAGCGCTGCCCCGTAAGCTTAAGATCCCACACACACAGCCAGTACCTAGTGCGTGAGCGCTACTGAGGTTAAGCTGCAAATCCAGTGAAATCTGAACGAACGTGCAAGACCTCTGATCAGCCCATCACCGTGGCACCTGCCCCCACAGCGCGAGCATCGCCCACACGCCTGCGGGTGCGTAGCGGCCTTCAGTACCGCCCGCCACTACCCACAGCGTGCGCGGGACCCTGCGCCCACCGTCGCGTTTCCGTGCGGCCCGTGAGGAACAGCAGCATCCCCGCAGCACCGGGGAGGTACCGACGGGCACGCACTCAGAGGCGCCTCGGCCCACCAGCGGCCGCCTCTCCACTCACCAACGCGGCCGTGGCCGTGGCTAACGTGTCCTCTCAGCTTCCGGGTCTTCCTCAGTCTGGAGGGCTGCGGGAAAGCGGGAGAGCAGCTGTCACCAAAACGGGCAGCAAGAGGCAGGACGACCGACCGACCGCCCTCCCCCGCGGCCGCCGCCGCTCCGAGGCCGCAGTCCCCGCGGC